GGACCGAGGTTCCTTCCTAAGCAACACACACACACACACACACACACCAGTGGGGGAGGGTGGTAAGGAGGGTAAGGGACAAAGAGATCACAAATCAAAAGTGCACATAGCACTTTGACAACATGTATACTAAATGGGATTGGTACAGAGATTAGCTTAGCTGTTGCTCAAGAATGAAACACAAATTTACAAAGTGTATCTTCTGAAAATTGTATATATTGGGGCTGTGGGCTAGCTCAGTCACGCAAGCGCAAAGGCCTGAATCAGTCATCAGGACTCACATTTTAAAAAGTCCAGCTTGATAGCATAGATTTGTAATCCTGCTTCTGTGAATGCATAGACAGGGCTCGCTGGCCAGTCAGTTTAGCCTACTGAGCAAGTTCCAGAACAGTGACAGAGCCTGTCGCAGGAAAATAAAAGGGGGTGGGGGGGGACTGTACCTGGAGAATGACACTCCAGGTTGTCCTCTGGTCTCCACATGTGTGTCCACGTACACACATGAACAAGAAGATAACACAACAAACCTACATTATGTATATAATGGTGTAAAATGTGATGTCTTGATACAAGTACACATAGTAAAATGATTAAGTTGAGCTAATTCTTCTGATCCTATAGTGTCTCTTCCCTAGCGACATCTTAAAAAGTTGAGATATGTGACTTAGCCACATTCTCCAACATTAGGTGTGGACTATCTCTATAGTTCTGCCTTCCCTTAATAAATGGGGTCAAGCTCAGCAGGTCTCAACCATGGCTGTGCAGCGGAAAGCAGTATCTTGGGAATAAAATGTGGGCATATATTAAAAACGTTCCCGAATGTCCTAATGTGCGGGTGGTGTTCAGAGTCCCTGCTCTCATCACAACTACTTTTACCTTGTTGCCTATTGGTACTGCCTCGTCCACAAACTAGGGAGTGATAGAAGGAAATAGTCTTGGGAGTGGACTTTGGACTGGCTGCCTGAAACTAAATCCTGGCTCCACTGCTCCACAATCTCCTTGTGATTCTGTAATTTCGGGGAAAAAGGCTGTCTTCTCCACGAGGGCTTTCTCAGTCCTTCCAGCCAGAGTTAATCTCTGGTTCTTTGTAACACTTTCTGTCTCTGTTATAATGCTAGGCTGGTTCATGGTGAGCTCTCAGAGAACGTTTATGAAATGAATTAGTATGATGCACATTATCTTGTCATTCTTTGCATGCATATTCTTTGAGGGCAAAGATTATATATATATATATATATATATATATATATATATATATATATATATATATATGTCTTTCATCTTTATACACCATATGGTGTTCCATCCATTTAAATACTCAGTAGGTTTGGAATCCATAGTGAAACTTACTTTAAATGAATTTCAGAGAAATGACATCAGTCGAATATAATATACTGTTTAGTGCTGTTTTCAAGTATTGCCAAGGACACCATTCAGTTCAGCTTCTTCACCTCCCAGCAGGATGGCTTTATGACTCTGAGTGGGGAGCTAGTGTAATGATGGATTTCCATAGCAACCACTGCAAACTATCTCATCTTGCCAGGTCTGCCAGCCTGACATAGTAACAAATGGAGCCCAGTGTTATGAAATGATATAATATATACAAGCAATCCAAGAAGGAACAATAAACTCCTTCATACACATTCTTGATCCTAAGGGTAGCTGAGTTCCAGTGCATACAAGCCAGTTCTCACTTTAGCAATCCTAATCTACAAAACCTTTAGTAACTCTCTTTTTCTAAAAGATAATGCATGCAATTTGGTTATTTTGCTTATATTTATTGATTCAAACTGAGATTCCAGAACCATGAATTACTTGCTTGTGATTTCTCTTTCTTTCTCTCCTTCTTTCTTCTTTCCTTCCTTCTTTCTTTTTCCTTCTTTCTTTCTGCCTTATTTCCTTCCTTCCTTCCTTCCTTCTTTCTTTCTTTCTTTCTTTCTTTCTTTTTCTTTCTTTCTTTCTTTCTTTCTTTCTTTCTTTCTTTCTTTCTTTCTTTCTTTCTTTCTTTCTTTCTTCCTTTTCCTTCCTTCTTTCCCTTCCTTCCTTCCTTTCTTCCTTTCGCTATCTATTTATTTATTTAAGCGTAATTTTAGTAAGATAGACTCTGGGTAGCAGCTTCCAAAAATCTAGATAAAATAACTTCACCATGATGTCGTGTGCATTTATTGTCCCTTCGTACCAAGTCCAAGTTATGCATGACCGAGAATTGGAAGAGAATTGAAAGAGAGACAGACACACACACACACACGGGGAGAGAGAGAGAGAGAGAGAGAGAGAGAGAGAGAAGCAGGCCAGAAAGGAAGGGGGTATGGATCTTATTTAATCGATTTATTTATTATGCTTAATATTTATTGGCTGTCTGCCACCTCGAACTCCTCCAGAGTAGGATTTTCTATTACAATCACTGATTTATGCCAACAGCCGTTGGCACGCAGCAGTCATGTTGCTGCTTAGTTTATGAGCGGACATATTCTAAGTGTTTTGTCAATGCCTTTCTATATCCACAGGAAAATAAGAAAGGGGTACGTTTAGTGACAGAAGTGGGGTACAGAGTGGGTCAGTAGACTATCAATCCCAGGCTCCCTACCACAGCCTGATCCGCTTGTCCTGAAGCCCCGCCCAAGGGCGGGCTCTTGACCGAGATGCCACCACTGATTGGCCAGACGCGGTGATGGGCGTGCGGGGCAAGCTTTGGAGGCTTCTTATTCCAAACTTCCGGGAGCGGCGGTTAGCGCGGCGCCGGCGGTTGAGCTGGAAGTCCTCGGTGCCGGTCGGCGGCTGGTGGGGAAGCTCCGAAAACCCGAGTGTCCGCTGCTCGGATCATCCAAGTGTCAGTGGAGGGGATTGCGGGCCGCGAGGGGAGAGGATGGATGGCGGCCGCAGGGCCGCGAGGGTAACGGGGTCAGCAGGTGAAGGCCCCCGACTAGAGAACTCGCGTTTGCACAAGCCCACCACCCCCTTCATCCTCGCAGTTCCGGGACCCTGAGGTTCCGGAGAGGTCCCAGTGGTGACGGAGTGCGGGTGTAACCCCTTCTTAGAATGACGTCTCACTTTGATGCTTTCCTGGTCTCTGACAGGTTTGAGCATGGCAGAAGGGGATACCTTGGTCTCAGTGGATTACGAAATTTTTGGGAAGGTTCAAGGGGTGTTTTTCCGCAAGTACACGCAGGTATGTGGCCTATAGGCTTGAAGAGGTGACGGACACGAGCCCTGGGTCTGACAGACGGGGACTTGGGAGAGGCTGGCTTTTGGTAGCTGCAGGGAGTTGAGCGGTAGTTGTGGCTGGAGATGAGGGATGAGGGTTGAGAATGTTTTGCAGTCTGTTAAACAGGAAGCAGATGCAAGGGGCTCTCGACTGGCCTTTCCAGGAGTGGTAAGGGAACTCTAGACACCCTTCTGAGGGAGAATTGCCCTAGTGTACCCTGTTGTACTGTCAGCAAGCCAAGTCACTGTCAAGATAGAGAGGTGACATTTAGGTGGACCGATCACACCGATATAAGTTATATAATCCTCCATCATACCTACCACAAGTTTATTCCTCCAGCTTCCTCTCACCACCTCAGGTTTTTGTTTTGTTTTTGTTTTTTCCCCCACCATGGGACTCAAACCCAGGGCCTTTTGCACGCCAAGCGACTCGACCGGCTAAGCTACTTCCCCGGCCCCTCATGTCATTCCTTTCTGTCCTTTTGTCTTTGCAAGAACACCCACCTTTTCCAATTTAAGTTTTCCTGATTAAAATACCATATCAGACCAGGCACAGTGGCACACGCCTTTAATTCCAGCATTCCGGAGGCAAAGGCAGGTGGACCTCTAAGTTCGAGGCCAGCCTGGTCTACAGAGTGAGTCAGGCCAGCAAAGACTACAGAGAAAAACGATATCTCAAAAACAAAAAGAAAAACCTTTATCTGTTCTTCCTGAATAGGTGTTGACATCGAGGGTGGTGGAGTCTGGTTTCCCCTTAATAGTAATGGGGAGTACTTGAGGGATGAACGAACTTGGCAGCCTCTGCCGGCGTTTCCCCATCACCAATCTCACCGGTACACAGGGGCCATCTCGACTTCCCTTCTGCCTTCAGCAGAACTATCTGGCTCATTACAGCCATCCTGATGAGCGTGACGTGGCATCTCCTTGAGAATTTCCATTGTTTTAGTCCAGGTTTCAGTGTATTTATAACAACGTAAGTCATACAAGGAGTGTTCTTCAGTCACAGTAGAAGTCATGTATAAATCAGTAACTGAACACTGCAACATACACACTGAAAACCCTTAACCATTTTAACCATCTGAAAACGCCCAATCCAGTAACCTTAAGTACATTCAGACATTCCTGTCCTGTCACCAAAGAACATTCGCAGGTCCTCCCCCTTATTTTGAGAGACTGAGGTTCTCTAACCACCACCTCCTGTTTCCCCTCCACCAGTCCCCAGCAATCATGATCCTGCTTCCCATGTATGCATATATACACGGAGGTCAGAGAACATATGGGAGTCGGTTCCCTCCTTCCATCATGTAGATTCCTGGGATCAAACTCGGGTCGTCAGGCTTGGTGGCAAGCACCCTAAATGACAGGAGCCATCTTGCTGGATCTCTGTAAATCTGACCACTCTAGCTAGATCGTGAGTAGAATCATAGAATATTTGTCCTTTTGTGAATGCCTTATTTAACTTGGCATCGTATCCTCAAGATCCATCCACATATCCTGACTCAGAGCTTCCTTTTCAAGGCTGAATAATATGCTGTATACTCTCAGGGTGGTTTTGATTTGCCTTTTCCTAATGAATAATGATGTTGAGTATCTTTATGTGTGTTTTGGCATGCAAAAGAAGATATTATGTGACATATTTGTATAACTTTCTATTCAAATCCTTGGCCCATTTTTAAATTGAGTTATTTTTTTCTTTGTGTGTGTGTGAGTTTGTGTTTTATCTATTCAAAATATTATTTTGTCTCTGACCTTTTCTTTTCTCTTTTTTTTTTTTTTTTTTTTTTGAGTTTGAAATAGGGTCTCACTATGTAGCCCTGGCTGCCTGGCTGGCCTAGAACTTAAGAGATCCACGTGCTTCTCTCCCCTGACCGATGGGTTTAAAGGTGTGTGCCACCATGCCCAATGCCCTTTCTCTTTTTAAAAAAAACTTTTATTTATGTGTGCATTTGTCTGTTTGTCTGTGAAAGTATATGGCAGAGTGTGTGTATAGGTGCCTACAGGCCCTGGAGCTGCTGTTTCAGGCAGTTGTGAGTCACTTAATGTGGGTCCTGGGAATGAACATGGGTCCTCTGCAAGAGCAGCAGATGTTTTTCACCACTGAGCCATCTCTCCAGCCCCTGCCTGGATACTAGTCTCTCTCTCTCTTTTTTTAATATTATTTATTTTTATTTTCTTACATTGGTGTTTTGTCTGCATGTGTGTCTGTGTGAGGGTGTCAGATCTTGGCGTTACAGATAGTTGTGAGCTGCCGTGTGGATGCTGGGAATTTAATTCAGGTCCTCTGGAAGAGCAGTCAGTGCTCTTAAACCGCTGAGCCATCTCTGCACCCCCAGGATACTAGTCTCTTAGCAAATGTGTGATGCCAACATTTCTTTTATTTTGGAGAGTTTTGTTTTTGTTTTTTTTTTTTTCTTTCTTGACAGGGTTCTGTCAAGCATCAAATGTTTAATTTTGTTTGTTTTGAGAAATTTCACTTTGTAGGCCAGGCTGGCTTCAAACTCATGGTATCCCTCCCAAGTACTGGGGCCCAGCAGAAGGATTTCCTTTTGAACTCTCAGTTTTGCTTCTTTTTTTGGTGGGAGATCGGGGGATGGAGCTTGTACTTGTGATGTTATAACTTGTACTTACAGTGATTTAAGGTCATGAAGAGTGATGCCTGTGTTTTCTCCTAAGGTGTTTCATGTCTCACTCAATGCTTTGGGGTGTTTTCTGGGGAGCAGGGGTTGTATGTTTGTTTGTTTGATATTTAGGGATAGAAAAAAAAAAGCATGTGAGCCTCTGCCAGATGGCTTTCTTAGCTCTCGTGGCCAGTGCTTTTGTGGGTGGCTATGTATTCCCTAGAGACCAAGAAGACTCTAGATGCCTGAGCAATGCCAACCTCTACAGACTTCACTCCCTCAACTTCCCAGCAGCTCATGCCCTCGCTTCTGTCTGCTGCACTTCTCTCTTAGTGAGTTCTCTTTCCGAGGATTTGGTGGACCATACTCAGGTCATCAGCCTGCATGCATGCTCTTGTGCCTGCTGAGCTTTCCGGTCAGCCCTGCTCTTTCTTCGTGTGCTAAAGCAGAGTTCTGGATCGATAAGGAAGGGATTTTCTTTTTAGATCGAAAACAAGAACTGGTAACCATGTTCCTTAAACTGTTTTAGAAGGTTTGGCACAGTGGTGCATATACTCATAGGCTGAAGTAGGATATGGGAAAATAAATGAGCTCAAACCCAGCCTGGGCTACATTAGCAAGACCCTACCTCAAAAGAAAAAAGTGAAAATAAAAAAAAATTTAAATGTACATAAATAATGTTAGGTGACTGTGTAAACAGAAAATGTTTTGATTGTATGTGTGTGTGTGTGTGTGTGTGTGTGTGTGTGTGTGTGTGTGTATACATGTACATGTGACCCCCATGCAGGTGGAGGTCAGAGGACAATTTGTGGGAGTCACTTCTCTCCTCTCCTTCCACTATGTGCATCCTGGGGATCACACTCGTGTCATGAGGCTTGGTGGCAAGTGGCCTTTCCTGCTGTGCCATCTTGCCAGCCCTGGAAAATGGTTTATGAGATGGTGTAGGGTATTGGAATTTCCTTTCAGAGAAGCTCATTGGGATTTTACTGTATTCGTTGTCTTGTTAACTTTTCCTGGGGAGACAGGAATAATTGTCTATTCATACTAGACAGGGTACCAGGAACAGAGCAAACGATTCCACTGAAGGGTAGTTTGGTGAACTCTCCTTTTAACTTTGATTCCTTGAGGGGCATGGGCAACTTCCAGGCAGCAACACATCGCAGTTCCCGCCCACCCCTGTCCTTCACACCTCATGGAATGTCAGGGAGAATTGGAGCGTGGTCACATTTTACACCAGCTCGTGAGTCCCATGTGCACTGGTTTGTGTCCCCCCTCCCTGAGGAGGGAAAGTTACTGGGCAGACGTGAGGGGCTTGTCCAGTCATCACACTGCTATGCTTTCAGGCCCGAGGACAGAGTTCCCTAGCACTTGGGTATTCAAATCTGAACGTGAATCAGCAGTGTTAGGGGGCAGAAGAGACGGCTCAGAGGTTAAGAGCACTGACTGTTCTTCCAAAGGTCCTGAGTTCAATTCCCAGGAACTACATGGTGGCTCATAACCATCTATAATGAGATCTGGTGCCCTTTTCTGGCATGCAGGCATATATGCAGGCAGAATGCTGTGTACATAATAAAGTTTTAAATCTTAAAAAAAAAAAAAATTAAAACAAGAGTAGAAATTACTTTAGCTGGGCATGGTATTGCATGCCTATGATCCCAGCACTCTGGGAGGCAGAGGCAGTCAGATCTCTTTGAGTTTGAGGCCAGCCTGGTTAACAAAGTGAGTACAGGACAGCCAAGGCTACACAGAGAAAACCCTGTCTTGAAAAAACAAAAAAATAAAAAGTAAAGAGGTAGAATTTAGTACACAGATAAAACCTGTTGGAAATTCCCTTCCTCAAGTGGGTCAAAATTTAGAGCTTTTTGTTCACAAGAATTCAGATCAATCACATTTCAAATTAAAGACGTATTTGGCTAATAGAACCTCCTGCTCAAAACTGCACAATCATGCTGATACCTATTTACCATCTATGGCGATGGAAACAGCTGGAGACTGCCAACTCCTCCAGCTTAATTTGAAGCACGAGGGCGCAGTTCCACATAGTTGGCTGGGTGTGCTGTCTTCCTCAGAACCCATTCTCAGCATTCTTCTTTTATGTCTCTCCTTTGGCACTCAACAATTCGCACTGTAGGTAGCCCCTGCTTTTCTTCATGCCTTCCTTTCCCCTGCCCTGAGACTGTTATTTGATGGAAATATTTTTGTTCATTAGGCAAACGTGTCTGCTTTGAACATAACTGGTTTGATGGATGCTCCATCCAGTTCCTCCTCAGAACATTTTTTTTTTTTTTTTTTTTTTTTACTGTGCATAAACTTTCTTTGGCATACTCCAGTAATTTCCCACGTATACTGAGTAACACTGGCATTTGCACATATAATCATGTTAGCTCCTGTACTCTTCTGTAATGCAACTCCTATTATACGTCAACAACAATATAATATCCTAATTATATATTTATGTAGTAATAAACTAGTTCCAGTACATCACTGTCTTTTCTAAATGGTCACTTCTGCCACAACTTAATAATGAACATTGAGAAGGGGAAAAACACAGTGGTCAGTTGGGTCTTCATAAGCATGTTCAACTTTATTTTTTTTAATTAACTTTTTTTGATGCATTGGTGCTTTGCCTGCTTATATGTGTGTGTGAGGGTGTTGGAGCCCCTGGAACTGGAGTTATAAATGGTTGTGAGCTGTCACGTGGGTGCTGGGAATTGAATCCAGGTCCTCTGGAAGAGCAACCAGTGTCTTTACCCGTTGAGCCATCTGTCCAGCCCCACATGTTCAACTCTAAAGTCATTGTGATCACTTATTAGACAAGAGAAAAGAAACCCTAGGAGAAGGAGGGGCGGGTTCGGAAAGGTGGCTGGAGCTTTTTTGGAAGGACTTTGATGATCACGGGGTCTATGGGCAGACCCTGCAGTAGCAGAGCATCAATACATCACATCAGGCAACATGGCAGGCAAAAAGGCTCTCATTTAAAACTCGGAGAGGAATGGTAGGGTGGCTCAGTGGGTGGTAAAGGCACTGAGCTAATTCCCGGGACTCCCACGGTGGAAGGAAGGAGCAGACTTCTGCAAGCAGTCCTCTGACCTCCACGCTTGTGCTATGGTATGGGTGCCCCACACCCATAAAGAAGTAAACGTACTTGAAAGGAGGGGCATCATTAAGAAAGATGAAGGGTCCTAGGTAGGTGGCTCAGCAGCCCTTACTGTTCTTCAGTAAGGGACTCCAAAGGACCCAAGTTTAGTTCCCAGAACACAGAGAGTGGTTCCTAACGAACTCTCATTCCAGCCAGGGCACCACCCACTTCTGGACTCGATGGGAACCAGCACTCATACCTTCACATACCACGCCCTCTCTATATTTTTGAAAGAAAAGATAAAGAGAGGTATCTACCAAAGCATACTAGGAGTAGAGAGAAGGCTCACAGAGATGGGCCTTCAAGTAAAATCCCCAAAGGAAAATATCTGATTTTTATGATGATACTAGAATTTGTCAGTAAGTTATTTTTAGCGATTTAGTTTAGGATAGTCTACAGGATAAAGAGCATGGAGGAACCAAGGACTGGACAGGACCATATACTAGGGGCCATGAGCTATGAGACTGTAACACAGCATAGCTTCTTAACTCTTGGTCTACGGAGAGAGAGATACAGCAGAAACATGGCCTGATTTCCCCAGCTTGCCAGCCTGGTCTCTTAGAGCAGCCAGCATCTTCAAGTGGCAGGAATATGATGTAACAATAAAGGCGAGTGGGAGCCTGATAGCTCCCGGAGTGTTCAGAGGCTGCTCACAGCTGCTTCCCTTCTCTACCAAGTCTACAGAAAGTGGGCTTTGGCTGCAGCATAAACATGTTCCTCCACAGTAAAAACAATGGCTTTGTTGCCCAGGAAATTGTGAAACACTGTAATGATCTTTAAAGAGAGAATGGATCACTTCATCTGGATTTGTTTAGGTGTGGTCCTGGCTAAAGGCACAGGGAAGGATCAAATAACTTGAAGCCTTTTCTATCTAACACACCCAGTAGATTGCTGATTAAGGAGATTAAGAGAAGAGGGTTGTGGGGATAGCCTAGAGCTAGAGTGCTTGCCTAGGTAGCGTGTACGGGGCCCTAGGTAAATCCCCAGTACTGCAAAAATAAGCTCAAACCCAGGGTCTCTCCCACCTCAATTTATTTGGCTAAGCATGATGGTACAAACTCAATCCCAGCACCCAGAAGGCAGAGGTAGGACAGTGCCTGGAAGATCAAGGCTAGCCTGTTCTGCATGATGAATTCTATTTCGGCCAGCCAAGGCTACATAATGAGACTGTCTCAAAAAAAAAGAAATGAACAAGCTGTAAGCTCAGTACCGTCAGTCAGCCTCAGGAAATCATTTTGAAGGCATCTTTTGTACTTAACCACTTTTACTACATAATGGAAAATTTTAAAGAATTCAAAATGCTGAGTTTTGTTGAATGAAAAAAGGAAATAGAATCAAGTGGCTAAAATCAGCCCTGAGATCTTCTTTTGTGTCTGTTTTGATTTTTCTGGACATTGTCAAATTAGTTTCGGTGGTTTGTTCTAAGCCAAGATTCTGGCCACAGATCATAGTCTCACTTTTTTGTGCAATCTCACTGTATCTCTCTTTCCTTTTTCCTCCTTAGGCTGAAGGTAAAAAGCTAGGCTTGGTAGGCTGGGTCCAAAACACTGAGCGGGGCACAGTGCAAGGACAACTGCAAGGCCCCATCTCCAAGGTGCGGAATATGCAAGAGTGGCTGAGGACAAGAGGAAGCCCTAAATCACACATCGACAGAGCAAAATTCAACAATGAGAAAGCCATTGTAAACTTGGATTTTTCAGACTTCCAAATTGTAAAGTAGACCTGAATTTTAATTTTTTCAAAATAATCTCACTTATTTTTTTTTTTAAATCAAGATAGAACTATTCTGTGCTCATTATTAGAATTTGTCAGTAAGTTATTTTGGTTGCCTATTGAAAGTTACTGTGTATTGCATGTATGCTGGAATACAATTGTGTACAATTCTAACCAATAAAATCACATTAGAACCTCATGCTTACAGTGCTTTTTAAAAAATCATTAGTGAACTCTTGGGCAACATGATGCATTTAATCATAATTGTGAGAGGAAGATTTTGAGGTAAAGAGTTTGAAAGAGAAGTGACTTTGAATCATTTCTTTAAGTTGTTCACACAGTTTCTTTAGGAGATTCCATGTGTAGTCAGATCAAATGCCATCAGGTCAGAAGCTGCGGTACACCACTGTCGCTTTTCAGTCTTTTGGAACATCTACTGTCATTCCTTTTCCAAGAGTTAGAAATTCACGCTTGGCCGCTTTGGGCAGGACTGCCCCCTCCCTGCATTTATATGCTGAAACCCTAACCCAAGTACCAATCGTATTGGACTTCAGATACTCAAGTGTCCACAAAAGATCACTTGAAGACAGCCAGCCACACCCAAGAGGAAATCCTGGCTGACGCCTTAAGCTCAGACTTGCCCCAGAACTGGGAAAAAAAAAAAAAGAACTGACTTAAGCCACCCAGCCTGTGGCCTTTTGTCATGAAACCCTGGCAAACTGAATAATGAGAATTTTGCTTCATAGGCTCCAGAAGTCTGATTTGATTTGGTTAGTAATTAAACAAATATATACCTATTTTTAAAAATTTGTCATAAGTTCCATTAAAGGGAGGAGAGGTGGCCTGGAGGGATAGCTCAGCAGTTAAGAGCCCTGGCTGTTCTTTGGAGGTCCTGAATTCCCAGCACCCACATGAGGGCTCACACCGGCTATGTCTGTAGACCCATCTGATTCGATGCCCTCTTCTGGTGTGCAGATAAGAACCCATATACACAAAATACATGTATCTTTTAAAAAGGGTTTCAGGGCCCAGGGGAGGAAATTTCAATGATGGAGACAGAAGGAGAAGACTGAGGATTGCCTAATAGTCGCCAAATCGTTGTGCTCTGCTCTCCTTCAGTTAGGAAAAAGCATTAGTGGTACTGGGAAGATAGCCAAACCGTACAAACAAACGATGAAGGGACGCCTTGGGTCATGATTTGCAAATTATGAGAGTAGAGCTGGTCCGTGCACACCTTTAATCCCAGCGCTTGGGAGGCAGAGTTGGGTGGTTCTCTGTGAGTTCGAGACTAGCCTGGTCTACAAAGTGAGTCCCGGGGCTGTAACACAGAGAAATCATGCCTTGAAGAAAAGAGAGAGAGAGAGAGAGAGAGAGAGAGAGAGAGAGAGAGACTGTGTGCGTCGTGTGTTGGGCTTCTCAGCCTTTTCCAGCTCCCTACAGCATTAATTTTAAGAACGCCGTGCATTCATTCTCTGAATATCTGCTTGCCACCAGGACACTGCGGTTTACCTTCTAGTGAACAAAGACTAAGGAAGCAAGTAAATTATGTGTCGAACTAAATATTCGAATATGCAAAGGGGTCGACAAAGAGAAAGGAAACAAAGTAAAATCTACCAGAAACAACCTTTCACCCCATCCCAAAAGAGACTAAAGCGCGAGAACTCATAGAAACGAACCAGGCGCAGGGATGCTCAGCTGGGCCACCTCGACGCCTGCGCACGGAGGCGCGGTCGCGCGGCGTCTCGGAAGCGCATGCTCCGGAGCGCACGTCCGGCGTCCGAGGTGGTTGGTCGGTGAGAGCTGGTGGAGGAGATCCGGGTGAAGGGGGGTAGCACGTGGTGAAGTGTGGTCCCGGGAGCCCGTCTAACGCCGGGAGGGCAGTGGTGACTGCCGCGGGCCCGTCTGGCGGAGCTCGGGGTCCCCCGGAGCGGCGGGGCGGGAGGACTGCGCAGGCGCGGGCCTGCCTCCACGGGACGCCAGACCGACTAAACCCCAGGACGGCGGTGTAATCAGTGCTAATTGAACATTCCCCCCGTTTGCCAGCGACTGCTAAGTTCGTTGTCTTAGAAAGCAGTCGTAGCCCAGGTTTTTCCCAAAAGACAGCCCTGCCACCGGCCACGCCGTTAGCCTTATGGGGAAGGAAGTGAGACCTTTAACCACCTAGACTCTTAGGGTTTGTTTGTACCTACAGGAAACCCTGAAATCAGGTTTCGACCACCCCACATCATCCATTAGTATTGCCAGTCTTGGTTCTGAGGACTATATAAAGGCCTAGAGTGTCGAGACCAAAGAATATGAGTAATAAGGGCTTTTCTGAAAGCTAGCAAGCAACGCTGGAGCACGGTTTAAATATCAAAGAAATTTTACCTGTTCCCATCCCCCGCCTCTTCCTCGGGAAGTAATCGTGACAATGCTGATAACCTAACGTGCCTCCCTGATACGTCTGACTTTCAGATTTCGTCCTATTGTTTTACCTTTCTGTTTACAGTGTCTTAGCACATCCAAAGTTTTTTTTTCTAAAAGCCATGGCTATTGTGTAATGTATAAATATTATGAAACTAGCTTGGACTTTTTTCATGAATAATTTCTAACTAATGTTTCTTAGCTGAATTTAATTTAGGCATCTGTTTTTAGTGAAGTGCTCAGAATTTTGAATTGTGTCTTTACGGGTCAACATCAGGTGTAATTATGATTTCACTTTAGGGCATTCACTTTAGGAACAGTGAAACATTATAAAATTATGAATGCTTCTTTGGAATTGGAAGTCCCTTATGCCAGGCATGAGTTTTATGCACTGTCCAGAAACCAGAAGTATACTTCTGTTTCATATTTTGGTTTAAGATTTACCTCAAACTGTCGTTCTTCATAGTAGTTGGAAGAAGTGATGATGCTATATGACTGAGGTTTGATAGGGGACGTGTTTTGTTTTCCTTGTAGTTGGTTATTTCCAGGCAGAGAAGGAAGCCAGTGCCTGGCGATCTCTCCACATGTCCACCTGCCATGATTAAGTGTTTGTCAGATGAAGTACAAGCCAAGTTGCGCTCGGGTTTGGCGATAAGCTCCTTAGGCCAGTGTGTTGAGGAACTTGCCTTCAACAGTATTGATGCTGAAGCAACATGTGTGGCCATCAGAGTGAATATGGAAACCTTCCAAGTTCAAGTGGTAGACAATGGATTTGGGATGGCGGGTGAAGACATAGCGAAGGTGGGAAACCGGTATTTTACCAGCAAATGCGACTCAGTACGGGACTTGGAGAACCCAAGGTATTATGGTTTCCGAGGAGAGGCCTTGGCAAGTATAGCTGACATGGCTAGTGCTATGGAAATTTCATCCAAGAAAAACAGGACAATGAAAACCTTTGTGAAAATGTTTCAGAACGGAAAAGCCCTAAATGCTTGTGAAGCTGATTTGACCAGACCAAGTGTGGGGACAACAGTAACAGTCTATAACCTATTTTACCAGTTACCTGTGAGGAGGAAAAGCATGGATCCCAGGCTAGAGTTTGAGAAAGTCAGGCGGAGGATAGAAGCTCTGTCACTCATGCACCCATCTATTTCTTTCTCTTTGAGGAATGATGTTTCTGGTTCCATGGTTCTTCAGCTCCCTAAAACCAAAGACATATGTTCTCGATTTTGTCAAATTTATGGATTGGGCAAGTCTCAAAAGTTAAGAGAAATACATTTTAAATACAAGGAATTTGAGTTCAGTGGCTACATCAGCTCCGAAGCACACTATAATAAGAATATGCAGTTTTTGTTTGTGAACAGAAGACTGATTTTAAGAACAAAGTTGCATAAACTCATTGACTTTTTATTAAGAAAAGAAAGTATTATATGCAGGCAAAAGAATGGCTCTGCCAGTAGGCAAATGAATTCAAGTCCTCGGCATCGTTCTGCCTCGGAACTCCATGGCATATATGTAATCAATGTGGAATGCCAGTTCTGTGAATATGATGTGTGCTTGGAGCCAGCCAAAACGCTGATTGAGTTTCAGAACTGGGATAGCCTGTTGGTGTGTATTCAGGAAGGAGTAAAGAAGTTTTTAAAGCAAGAAAAATTATTTGTTGAATTATCAGGTGAAGATATTAAGGAATTTAATGAAGATAATGGTTTCAGTTTGTTTGGTGCTACCCTTCAGACACATGTGTCCACTCTGGAGAAGTGTGACCAAAGCAGTTTCCAGGAAGCATGTAGTAATATCTTGGATTCCTATGAAATGTTTAATCTGCAGTCAAAAGCTGTAAAAAGAATAGCTACTATAGGAAATAAAAACACAGAGAATTCTGGGGATTCAGATGCTACCAGAAAAAAAACAGACTCATTGTACACGTATGGATCGGATGGCCTGGGCCACAGTAAGATGGTAGAGTCATCGTTACACAAGGACAGTGTCTGTTTAGAAGCAAGGATGTTGGAAGAGGTAGTCGAAGCATCAGACTCCGGAGAACATGAGAAATGTAAGACATCCTTCTTGGAACACAGGACTTCAGGAAGTCCAAAAATGTTTTCAAGCCCTATTCAGACATGTCATCTCTTTGAGGAGAGTGAGGCAGATCTAGAAATACAGAAAATAAGTCCTACTGTTAATGTCATGTCTGCCAACATCCCCCCAAATAGTGACATTCAGAGTCAACTAGAGAAATTTAAAGATGCTACTGAAGTGGGATGCCAACCTCTGCCTTTTGAGACAATGTTATTAAGAGTACAGAGTACTCAGAGGAAGGAGAGAAAAAGGGAGCCTAGTAGTCATGAAAGAGTAAATGTTTTTAGTTATGGACAAGTTAAATTATGCTCCACTGGCTTTATAACTCATGTTGTACAAAATGAGCACACAAACTCAACTGAAACAGAACATCCATTTAAAAATTATGTTCGACCTGGTCCTGTAAGTGCCCAAGAAACATTTGGAAATAGAACACACCATGCAACTGAGACTCCAGACAGCAACGATTTAACAAGCACTCTAAGTAAAGAGTCCACTCAGCTGCCCAGCAAAAGGTTTTGCACAACAAATAGAGTTTATGGGACAGAGAAGAAACCAGTAGCAACAGATGAGGACTGGTCCCTTTTTCAGGAAAGCGGTAAGGGATCACACACAGATCACATTTTACCTGATACATCTTCCTTCCCATGGTATAGATACACGTCCCGTGGTTGTAAGAAAACAGATAAGATGATGGTTTCCTCCAAACACACAGTCCATCGGAAGCTAAGCTTACGTTCACGAGTAGGATCTTTAGAGAAGTTTAAGAGGCAATATGGAAAGGTTAACAATTCTTCAGTTACAGAAGAGGACAATAGCACTGAAGTCGGGACCCACCTCGATCCTCAAGTCGAGCCTGACTTTCTACTGAAAGACAAGAGCCGCTTAGCTATGTCTGATGGTTGTAAGATCACTACTGTGGAGCACAGTGATTCATATGATACCTGTCAACCAGTAAGTCACGTCCTGTACTCAGAGGAAATTTCATTTTCCAAAGGAGATCACTTAGACCAGATGCCTCACTGGAGGGAAAGTCCTATTACTCTGGCAGAATTAGCTCAGTGTAACAGAAAACCTTCAGGTGTTGAGAAGTCCTCTGAGTCACTGGCTTCTAAATTATCCAGACTGAAAGGTTCTGAAAGAGACGTGCAAACTGTGGAGATGACAGGTCATATTAATGCACTTCAAGATTCAGATCCCACTTGGAAAGATAACAGCCAGTTCCCTGGGCTAGACTTACATTTTTGTGAGTTATTAAAAAATAAGCATGAAAAAGGAGAGAGTGACATGCTTCTAATGCCAGATTCTGCCACCCAGGATGATTCCATCAATAAAAACAGGACAGTACATTCTGACAATAAAATGGATGATACAGAGAAGCCAGAAACTTTTTTGCTGTTACCTGGTAATGATTCTGAAATCAGCAAAGATTCAGATGTTCTCTTCAGAGCTTCAGAACAACATAAAGGAAATCCTGAGTCTCCCAGTAGAATGATAGCAAGTCAGGTAGAAGATACCACTGACAGCCAAGATGAAACTTACTCCCAGAGTGATGACTTTAAGACAAGATTTTGTTCCAAAAATGAAGGATCGAATACATGCTCTGTGGACTGGCTGCAGCATTTTGACGTAGCCCAGGGCAGAATGGTTTACGTCAATAGACTGACAGGACTTAGCACTTTTGTTGCTCCCAGCGAAGACACTCAAACTGCCTGTACTAAAGACCTGACAACCGTGGCTGTGGACGTCCTGCTTGGGAATGGTAAGTATGCAGTATTCACTGGCATGAAATGTTTTTGAAAAAGAGAATAATAGCCAAAGAGCACCATGATCATTGTTCACAGAGATGACCTCAGCAGACAGCATTAGAAGGCAATTTTTATTGTTTTGTTTTGGAGGGTTTTTTCAAACCTATACTGTGTTAAAGGCTTATGGAGATTCTCTGGGTCTAAATATAAAAATTTAGTGAAGACCGGTAAAGGATGTGTCTAAGAAAATGTGTGTATAAGAGAGGGGGAAGCTCCCTCTTTATAAAATGGTACACTGTTGATGGCTAAAAAGAGGCCCACAGTACTTCCCTTTCCTGTTTCCCTTTCTTCCCATATACTTCTAGAAGTGTCTGTAGAGTCATGACTGCTTCTGTTTGTGGCCACCAGCCTAAGACCTTAACTTAAAAGTTTCCAATACGCAACCTTGGAACCTGCCACAGAGGGCCTCTGAAAGCCTCTGCAGTATAGATTGTCAAAGCAGATGCTGAGCCTGATGGACAACTGATGGGCAGAGTGAATGGAATTTTATGTAAGAAGTGGGAAATAGTAAGAGCTGGAGGGGACGGGAACTCCACAAGCAGAGCAACAGAACAAGATAATTTGAACACAGGGAACTTCCCAGAGACTCATACTCCAACCAAGAACTATTCGTGGAGATAGCCTAGAACCCCTGCACAGATGTAGCCCATGGCAGTTCAGTGTCCAAGTGGGTTACATAGTAATGGAAAGAGGGACTGCCTCTGACATGATCTGATTGGCCTGCTCTTTGATCACCTCCCCCTGAGTGGGGAGCAGCCTTACCAGGCCACGGTAGAGGACAATGCAGCCACTTTTGATGAGAACTGATAGACTAAGATCAGAAAGGAGAGGAGAACCTCCCCTATCAGTGGACTTGGGGAGGGGCATGCATGCAGAAAGGGGAGGGAGGGTGGGATCGGCAGGGGAGGAGGGAGGGGCTTATGGGGGATACAGAATGAATAAAGTGTAATTAATAATAAAAAAAAAAGTTTCCAATGCGATCTATAGGTCAGCACAGTGGGATTTTATAAGCTTCCCCGAGATAGTAAGATTTCTCAACATTATTCAAAATGTAGGCTAGATAGGTGCCTGCATAACTATGTTTTTCAAATGTACTCTAATATGATGTGTGTATCAAGCCACTTGACATGTTTCTGACATAAGAAGCTGATAATAACGTGGCTGTCAGGTCACACCACAAGGCAACTCTAGAGCCTGCTCTAGGACTCTGGGTTCTCAGGTTTCTGGCAACATTAAAAGTGACATTGTTTTGGCAGTCTGTTGAGAGCCAGATGTTGGGAGACTAAAGCTGATTCCCATCTGGCTATAATCTTGGCTTTCACTGGTAGGATAAACATTAAATATGCATCCCTGTTAAAAGTCTCGAATGCTGTAAAAGAATGTAAATTGTATGAATATAATTGCAAATTATAATGTCTCCTTAGGATAAATATTTCTAGTTGGAGGCCCTGATTTACTTAAGGTTAAATAAATCTTTTAGTTTTCAATGTTTTCCGAATCTTTTTCCTCATGGGAAAAAAATCACTATTGTAACTTCTAGAGAATTTAATATGAAGAGAAACCCCTTTACTTCAGGATTGCTCTGGAGACTATCCGGTTGCTCCTCAGGCATCCTACGCACTTTTCAGCCGAGGTTGCCTGTACTGGTTTGTATGGGCTGAGTGCTTATCAGAGAGGACCGTCTAAGGCTGCAGCACCTCATCTTCCTGAGCGTAACTGCTTCTGACATGGTGCCAACAAATAACTGGGTCATGGCCTACTGGGGGGGCGGGGGAACCTTAGCTGCCACATCCAGCATAAACATCTGCTCCTGTTGAGTGTGGTTTAGATGTTGAAACTACTTCAGTCCACCTAACCATCTGGGTACCATATCTTGGGAGAGCTGTGTAAAGTCAGGTTCCAAATGAAAAAGGATTTTGATATCCAATCAAGTTCGTTGAAAAGATGGCACCTCATACCCTCCATTCACATGAAAGGGATCTTTACAGTGGTACATCGGGACATGGTGGACCCACACATGAAAATGTAAAAGTGCAATACATCACTAAGGGATGCGGTAAAGCTCCATTAATCTTAGCACTTGAAGGTGGAGGCAGGAGGATCAGGAATTGGAGGTCACCATCAGGTACATCTCAAGGCCAGCTGAGCTACATGGAACCAAAATTTTAGTATTTAAAGGTAAATTTAGAATGTCATATCCCTAATCCATGGGATTTTTTTCTTTAAAAATATCTTCTTTTTCCAGTGCAGGGCCTTCCCCACATCAGTTAAATACTTTACCGATTATCGACAGTCCCCGCTTAATGTCCTTTATTATGGCTTATACAGCTTTTTCTTAGCTAATCTCTTGCTTTAGTTTTGTCTAACAGGCTTGCCTTTTCAAGTAATATTTTTATTATGTGCTCCCATCCCTGTGTTAAATTTTTATTTGCTGTGTTTGAGTGGTTTACCTGTGTGTATGTCTCTGCACCATGTGCGAGCCTCATGCCCGTGGCAGCCAGGAGAGGGCATCAAATCCCATGGAACTATAATTGCAGCCACCATATGGGTGCTGGGAATTGAACCCAGATCCTCTGGGACAGCAGCTGAGCCATCTTTCCAGGCCCCATGTCCCCCCACCTTTTAAACTATTTCTTCAGCATTGTTTCTAAGACTCACATTTGCTCTTCCTTCAAAAGAATGGTTAGAGTTTAGACTTTCTTCCCTGATTTGTGTTTTTATAGAGTACCTTTTGTCCACTCATTCATCTTTGTGCATATTCATTCAGCATCGGTGGGTTGTTACACTGTGGCAGGTGTTGTCACATTGGAAATGGTCCGACTTGTCAGCATTTCAGTCTGTTAGGGCTACCTGTGTAATACAGTGAAGTCATATTTATAGTAGAGACATAGATTGTGAATAAGGGACATAAAGGTTGGGAATCTGTGAGGGCTGCAGCAAGTTCTGGGTGATCATTAAGTTTACCTGTGTGTCTAAAGAGGCGTTCCTGTGTAAGCATACCTTGGAAGGTATTTAGCAGCCACCACCCCACCTTTATCTGCCGGATTCCACTATCTGCACCATTTACTCAAGAGAGGACCATGAAAAATGTCTCCAGACATTGCCGAATGTGCCCCAACCCTGTAAAAGGACCACCTTTCTGCCATTGAGAGTCACATTCATGAATAAAAAGACAGTGCGTTAATGTAAGTTAGCAGATCATTTCATTGAAACTTCTAATTTTATGTTGGGTGGTGATGGTGCATGCCTTCAACCCCAGTACTTGGGAGGCAGAGTCAGGCAGATCTCTGGATTCCAGCCTGGTCTACAGAGTGAGTTCTTGGACAGCCAGAGCTGCACACAGAAACTCTCTCTCAAAAACCAAAAAAAAAAAAAAAGAAACTTGTGATTTTCTGTGTAGTGTTTAGTAGTCTGCCTTATGCCTTTTTTTTAGTTTTTAGAGAAAGATTTATATAATTTTAATAGTTTATTTGTTGAGTTCAAATTTGTAGGTTTTTCTTTTTTGTTTAGGGTTTCAGTACAGGTGTCATCCTTTTAGAAGCGATCTTGTTCTTCCTTTCCTCCCAAGATCTCAGGAAGAGAGGACTACGCTGAGACAGAGTAACAGAGGTGAGGGCAGTAGCAGAGGCTGGGGACCCACGACGCACTGTCCCACTCGGTGCAGGAGACGAAGCAGGGCCGCATTCTGAAGCTTGATCAGCACCAGCTGTGCCTCCGGAGCCAGGCATTCCCCACAGCTCTGTTTAGCAGCAGAACTAAGTAATTCAGTACATGTATTTAAGCCAGAAATTGCTTTTCCAGGCTGGAGCTCCGTGCTGGGTGATTATGCATAGGCTATGGTGTTTGTGATTGGGAAATGTTTCTTATTTTTAAAGATTGAATTTCTCCATATTTCAGTAGTTTGATCTTTGTAAAATTCTTTGAAAAAAGCTAAAGAAATTACTGTGCTGTTGTTTCTTAAAGTAGAGTAATTATATTTTTAATGAAAGGCAACAAGGAAATTCGAACTATAGTATTCTCTGAACACATATTTGGAATATTCTTCTTTTAAGACTTAGTTATTTGTGTTTTATGTGTGTGGATGTTTTCGCCTGCATGAATGTCTGTGTACCATGTGCATGCAGTGCCCTTAGCCAGAGGAGGGCTTCATGTTCTCTGGAACTGGAATTACAAATGGTTGTGAGCCACCATGTGCGTGCTAGGAACCAGACCTGGGTCCTCTGCAAGAGCAGCAGGCCCTCTTAACAGATGAGCCATCTCTCCAGCCCCTGAAACACTGTTGAAGACAACTTGGAGAAAAACTGTCAGATGGGACAGTCATGATACTAGTTTCAAAAGTAGCATTAAGGCTGGGTATGGTAGCACACACCTTTAATCCCAGGGCTCAAGAAGCAGTTGAGTTTTTGTAAGTTTGAGGCCATTCTGGTCTGCATAGTTCTAGGTTAGCCAGAGCCATGTAGTAAGATCCTGTCTCCAAAACCAAAGAAGTAACATCAGAACCAATGCAGGGATGCAGTACAGACGTTGACATTTGTGGAATGCAGGGATAATGTGTCTAATCTTTGGTCTTGAGGCTGTAGCAAGGGGGAAAAGACATTCAACCTCTTCCGGGGTCTTGATAGTAGCTGTTTCCCTTTGTCCTAGATGCTGTGGATGCTGCTGTTGTCAGTGGATCACTTCAGTCTTTATTTTCAGAATGGAACAATCCAGTGTTCGCCCGTTACCCAGAGGTAGGTCTGCAGGACTTTGTCTTTGCCTGTTTTTAAATTTGAACTTCACTTAAGCTGGATATGGGCATATGAGTATATGAATTTGTGGATACGAATGGAAAATAGGCAGATTCCCAGATGACTTACTTGGAAGTTAGTGTTTAAGGTAGAGAGGAGAAGTCAGCCTTTTGGAAAGGTGGGGAATTTTGGATTAAACATACATATTCAGCGTGAAGAGTGAATGTGTTTGTCCTGTCTTACAGGGTGGTGATCGTAACTGTTACCATTCGATAAAATATCTTCTCAGCTGCAGGAACAGTTCTTTGTGTCCTAGCGCTGCCCTTTCTGTGGCGTGCTGTCACAGCGTGTACTGAGTGTGGGGATGAGCGTGGGTCACAGACAAGCTTTTGACTACTGATTCTTCACTTAAGATGCCTGGAAGAACTTAATCCTGGAGCATAAACAGATTGTTCTGAAGTAATGCTGGCTTTGTCAGTGCTTATAAAAATGTATTTAATTGAGACAGCTTATCCTTAGAGCTGTTGAATCTCTAGGTTTTCTATACCCATCCTCTCTCTAGCAGGCTATATGAATAATGTTTGTTTGGTTTGGGCTTTATTTTTTGCAGTGCTAGGAATTAAAACTAGAGCCTCGCATGTGCTAGGCAGTGCTCTACCACTGACCTGTGTGTTCCACGCCCTGAAAAATGAGGATTTTAAAGAAGTTTGAAATGATTGGTAAAACAGTTTCACGGACATTAAAAATCAAGTTATGTCTTTACTGGGTCTTTCTAGGTTGCTGTTGATGTCAGCAGTGGCCAGGCTGAGAGCTTAGCAGTTAAAATTCACAACGTACTGTATCCCTATCGCTTCACCAAAGAGATGATTCATTCAGTACAGGTAAAAATCAATGCTGAAATCTGTGTAATGATTAAGCTAGACTAACATTTGTGAAACTGAATCTTGGTTTTGTTTTATCTTTGGTTTTCTAAGACAGGTTTTTAACCTGGCTGTCCTGGAACTTGCTTTGTAGACCAGGCTGGCCTCAAACTCAGATATCTGCCTGCCTTTGCTTCCCAAGTGCTGGGATTAAAGATCTGTGCTATCACGCCCGGCTCACTAAATTTTTTTTTTTAGTCAGGCTTCTCTAGAGGAACAGAACTGATGGAATGGATATGTATATGAAATATATATATATATATATATATATATATATATTAAGCATACATACATATAAAATATATATATGTATAAATGTACATATATATAAAACATGTATTATTTTAAAGGGATTTACTAGAATAGCTTTCAAGTTGTAGTCCAGCTGGTCTAACAATGGATGTTTCCCAGTGAAAGATTCAAGAATATAGTAGTTGTTCAGTCTACAAGGCTGGATGTCTCAGCTGGTCATTAGTTTATGGCAGAATCCTGAAGAAGTAGGCTGTAATGCCAGTGAAGGAATGGACTTGCCAGCAAAAGTGAGGGCAAGCAAGCAAAGCAAGCCTCCTGTGTCCTTTATATAGACTGCCAGCAGAAGGTGTGGCCCAGATTAAAGGTGAACCTTCTCACCTCAAAAGATCTGAACTAAAAAGTGGGTCTTCCCACTTCAAATGGTTTAGTTAAGAAAAAAATCCTTCACAGGTGTACCAGCCTCTTGGGTTTTAGTTAATTCCAGGTACAGTCAAGTTGTCAACCAAGACTAGCCGTCAGACGTGGGTTTCTTTGCTTTTAATCTGACTGGAACCTTAAATTGTTATTATTTATTTTTATTTTTATTTTCACATTATCATTATTCTTTTTCTTTTATTTTTCAAGACAGGGTCTATAGGGTTGTTCTGTAGACCAGGCTGGTCTCTAACACCACCACTGCCTAGCGGGAACCTTGAATTTTTATCATTAGGAAAAAAAAAAAAAAAAAGCAGATTAATTTTAATAGCAAGAATGCCTTTACTAGTGCAAGCATGTTTGCAGGGGATGAATAGTATCAGGACTGTTAACATTTCTGCAAAGAATTATATTTGGATTTTATATTTTATAGCAATATGACAAAAAATTATGAATTAACAGTGTCCTTAAATGTGCAAAAATACCCACTTTTAAGTGACACTCTGTGTGAGGCTGCAGCTAAGGAAGCCGTAGACTGGGAAGTTCATTAACAAAAGGGACCCCTGTCTTTTGTCCTTTTCTGCTGTGTTCTCTACACTGTTTTGACTGTTGTAGTCTCTTTACCTTCAGATTTTAAAATAAACTAGAATATTAAGCAATGCTAGTTGAATCCTACACAGATGGTGACCTGGGATGAGAGCAAGAGAGAAGTTATCCAGAAAGAAACTTCGCATGGATAGAGAGGAGCCCCACAGTCTAAAGCTGCTGGGGGCTTCTGCTGCTGCTATAGACTAGCTCTTTCAGAATGGCTTTCTTGCTTTTCACAGCTGAGGATTTGTATTTTAGACCATGCATGATGGCGCACACCTTTGATCCCAGCACCGGGAGGCACAGACAGCAGGATTTCTGTTAGATGGAGACCAGCCTGGTCTACCTAGAGTCCCAAGCCAGGCAGCCTCCACCTTGAGACACTGTCTTTAAAAAGATAACTGCATTGTTTTGATTCTGTTGGTTAGTAGTCTCTGGTCATATTGTGACGGAGTGTCTCTGCTGGAATCATCACAGAAAGACTCCATGTCCTCCACCCGCTTACTTGCTCATCCTTTTATCTTTCTCAGCGAGCTCACATGTGCCATAGAGCAGGCATTCAGGCTTGCTGGTGTACACCATCACCAATGGAGCCATCTAGCTGTCTCCTCCACGGGGTCTGGGCTGTGGGTGTTTGCACGGCAACATGTCTTTTTCCTTTATGCAGATAGCCTTTGCTAAGCTTTGGTTAGTGTCACATTATTTATCTCAATGAATGGCAGGTTCTCCAGCAAGTGGATAACAAGTTTATTGCCTGTCTAATGAGCACAAGAATGGAAGAAAATGGCAAAGCAGGTAAGCATGGAGTTTTGCTTCATTAAATAGCTGTCTGGTAGTGTGGTAATCACCTTTTAGAGTACCTTTGGGACACTCTTGTTGTGGGATACATCAACTTGAAATTGTAATTTCAGCGATTTAAACAGATAAGGAGAAACTAGCCTTAAGAAAAATCTGAAGCAAGGTTTAAAGACATAAATTTTAAGTATACTGACACACACCCATATGAATAAGATACACATTGAGCTTTTGGTCTTTGAGATAGCCCAGGGTTGCCTCATACTCATTGTGATCCCAGTGCCTCCCCCTGACTGCTGGGATGACCCAGGCCTGTACCACACCACACCTGTTTAAACTATTAATAGTAGTCACCTTGGAAGTGAAAATGAAGGTGGACAAAGGGAGAATTTCATCTTCTACTCCTTTAAAATATCTTACATTGTCCATTTTTTAATGTTTGGCGGGGGGAGTGTGGGGCCAACGGTAACTTCAGGTTCCTTCCTCCATTACTTTCCATCGTTTTTAAGACAAGGTTTCCTGTAAACCTGGGGCCTGCTGTTTGCCCTGTGTGTGCTGGACTGGCTGCCAGCAATGCCCCGCCTCATCTGCCTCTCACCATTGTTGCAGTTAAGGTGTGGACCACCACAGTCAGGGTTCTACGTGGACACTAGGATCCACATTTACATCTTCATGCTTGCAAAGCAAGTACTTATCATGGAGCTCTCAACCTACCCTTTAATGTCCTGTGTGTATGTGTGCACAGGTGCTCGCCCACACATAGGAGAGCAAAGGGTATCCCGGGCTGTCATGTTCAGGGCACCATCCATCTCCTTTGAGAAAGGATTTCTGATGTGCCACCAGTTAGGCAAAGACTGCCCCATGAGCCCCAGGGATGGTCATGTCTCCACCTCTAAGACTCTGACTCAAGTCCTTGTACTTGCAAGTACTTGTTTTATCCATTGAGCCATCCCTAGCTCCTTTCACATCGCTTTCATCTACAGTAATAAGTTTATGTAAATGTATAAAATGTGTTCTGCTAGGTTTATCAAGAGTGCTTACACAGAAGCAGGAGTCTGGAGAGATGGCTTGGCTGTGAAGAGCACTAGCTTCTCTCCCAGAGGACCTGGATTAGATTCCAGCCTCCATATGGTGGCTTACAGCTGTCTGTAACTCAAGTCCTAGGGGATCTGACACACTCTTTCCTGGCCTCCCTGAGCACCAGGCATGCATGTGGTGCACAGATATAGAGTCAGGCAAAACACCCAGACACATGATTTTTTTTTTTAATTAAACAGAATCAATTCCTACATAAATTAAATTATTCAACAAATACTGTTTGAATGCATTGTGTTTGCTAGGGACTGAATCAGACCCTAAGGGCACAATAATAGGAAAAAAATAGTCAGAAAAGCACAAACACATAAAATTTTAACAGTAGGTCTTAACAGAGAAGTAGAAGATGGTGTAAAAACTGACATTGAAAATTTTGATTTTGTCTGGGAGGTCAGCAGACATAAAGTGAGCCTGGAGTATGAGCGTGTCAAGTAAGACAGTGAATAAGTGCCTTGTAATTCCCTCTTTGTCAGGTGGCAGCAGGGCAGTAAGCCTGGAGATGAAGCTGGGAAGGAAGTAGTAGCCAGGTGTTAAATGTCAGCTTCAAGCTTTATTCTGTCCCAGCACTAGCTGGAAACAATTAGGCATTTCCTATTCTTTTGTTTGTTTTTGGAATGCTATCTGTTGTATCGTGTGTTTAGAAGGGCTGTTCTAGTTGCAGTATGGAGCATGGACTGAGTTCAGGTAGAGTTCTGGGAACTCCACAGAGACAGTTAAGAAGATATTGCAGCATCTAAGAAATAAGGGTTACCTAGGATCACGGTAGAAGAAGGAGAAGTGAAGGCTTTAGTACCGAGTGTGGGGTGGTGTGAAACAGTCCAGTAGTCAGAAGACCAAGGCAGGAGGCCTGACACTAATGTAGCCTGGGCTACCATGGGTGACTTCATCTCAAATAAACAACAGAAATGTGGATGTACTGGGAAAGCAGGAGATAAAGTCAAGGGCTTGGTGGTGGATTGTTATGGGAGAGGCATAGCAAAGATAACTCCTAGTTTTTTGACCTCCATGGCCAAGTGGATGGTGTTACAGGACCAGATTAGAGCTGGAGCAGGCTGGGAGGATAAAAATCACAAGTTTAATCTAAATTCACTTTGAAATGTTCAAGAGGAGACGGCAGGAATGCGTTTGGCTAGTGCAGGGATGGACTGACCCGCTGACCTGGTGATAGAACTTGAATTGTCAGCCTAAAGTTGGTTATTGGTAGTGTAAGTTTTATCACTTAGAAATGTGAAGAGTGAGGAAAAGCCCTGAATCGGGCATAATTTTAACATGTAGCAGTTGAATAGAAAGGCACACCGACAGAAGAGAAGAAGGAATAGCTAGAAAAACAGAGAAAATGGGCATTCGTACTGCACCCAGGACCGCAGACGAGCCACCGCTGTTGTTTGCGGAGGTCGGGGGTGCCGTACCGTTCTGTGACAGTGCAGACTTGGCATTGAGAGCCGCGCTGTCTGAGAGAAGAGACCGGGCAGAGCCATTGCTGCTGTGGGGAAATCTGAGACCTGGAAGGGAGTGACCAGCCGAGAGTCAGAGGAGACTTTAGATGAAAATTTTGAGTGCAATTACAGCAGTCTGTCTGCTTCTGTGGTCTTGCTTTCCTTGGTTTCAGTTACCCACAGTCAACCAAGGTCAGAATATTAAGTGGAAAATTCCAGAAATGAGCAACTTATAGGTTTTAAGTTTCACCCTGCTCTGAGTAGTATGATGAAATCTATCGTCTCACTGTAGCCCGCCAAGCTACAAATTATTCCTTTGTCCAGTGTATTCATGCTGTGTACCCTTGTTGCCTATTAGTCAGCAGCTTGCATACATTACCAAATTACCTGTACAGTCAGAATCACGCTGCTTATGTTCCAAGAAACTGTTATACTTAATCACGGCACCGAGTGCAATAGAAATGGTGTTAGCAGTTTTATTCCACCATATTGTTGTATTATTTATGTATTTCTATAGTGTTAGGAATGCTATACAAGCACTCTGTCACAGGGCCACACCCCCAGTCCTGTTCTGCATTATTATTGGTTATTGTTAGTTTCTTGTTGTACCTAACATTTAAAAAAATATTTAATTTTTTTATATACATTAGAATGAAGGTGTCAGATCCCTTCAAATTGGCGTTACAGACAGTTATGAGCTGCTATTTGGGTGCTGGGAATTGAACCCAGGTCCTTTGGAAGAACAAACAGTGCTCTTAACCACTGAGCCATCTCTTCAGCCTCTGGACCAAACTTATAAGTTAAACTTTATCATAGATTTAAAGTTCTAGAAAAATCAACTGTTCTAGGTTTAGTTCAAGGTTTCGTAAAGGAGTTGTTTCTTTCCTACTACTGTGTGGTCCTGGGGATTGAATTTGGGTCTTCAGGCTTGGCAGCAAATGTCTGACCCACTGAGCCTTCTCTCCAGCCCAAAAAAAGCTCTGGTGTGTGTGTGGGTGTGATCAAAATACATTGTATAAACGGATGCAATTCTCAAAGAATAATAAAAAGATTTAAGATACTATGTTAGACTATGGATAAGGAAAGAAAAAACAAAAATCCCAAATCCACATCCTTTGTTTCTACCTGTTTACTATCTGCTTAACTTTGAAAACATCTATAAGAGGCTAAATAAACATTACTTCTGTGATTAAATAAACTAACCTAAGAAGACCGTAAGTGTGTTTGACTGACTACTAACTTGCATTTCTTAATTATCCTAAACAGTTTATAATAGTAGCTTTCAAGGACTAGAACTTTATATGTTGTAGTAAATTAAAAACTAAGATTATCATGGTGTTTTTATCTAACCTGCTATCACAAATAATAAGATATAGACACCTGTTAGATTTATAATTGCCTTATTTACCTTGAGCCAGGCAGAAATTTTACCTACTGTCTCAATATCCTCACCAGCCATCTCCCAGCCCCCATCCAATGCCATCCTCCTTCACCATCCTCATCTGAACAACCTTCCATCATAATCCCATGGTACTTGCTTATATTCTTCATCTGAGCCTTTTCACACTGTTATTGGAGTCCTTTCTCCCAGTCCACATTGTTCCTTCTCCACCTAACCCATTGTGGCATCTTCCTTCCTCCTCTCTTCCTGTCTGTCTGTCTGATTCCTGTGATTCTCTCCATATGCCCCATGATTCTCATGATTCTTCCACCTCAAAAGCCTGGGAACCTTGCCATGCCTACCGCATTCTGCCCAGATATAGACCGCTTAATGAACCAATCAGGTATAATATTTTAGGCAGGTTTACACAAACAAGGATGGGTGTATCCAGTGGGCAGTAACCAGATCTTGAATGCCAGTAATTAACATTAGACCAACCTCCAACACATCACCTCTAATAAATGTGTAATTCTAGAGTCAGCCTCTTCAGAACTCAAGGCAAAAACCCACTGAAACATTGTACACTATGTTAGCCATTGTAATTGAGGCCAGGTTTTTATATATTAATTTTTTTTATTAATTACAATTTATTCGCTTTGTATCCCAGCTGCAGCCCCCTCCCACATCCTTTCCCAATCCCACCCTCCCTCCTCCTTCTCCTTTGCCCCTCCCCCAGCCACTGATAAGGGAGGTCCTCCTCCCCTTCCATCTGACCCTAGCCTATCAGGTCTCATCAGGACTGGCTGCATTGTCTTCCTTTGTAACCTGGTCAGGCTGCTCCTCCATCAGGGGGAGGTAATCAAAGAGCCAGCCACTGAGTTCATGTCAGAGATAGTCCCTGTTCCCCTTGCTAGGGAACCCATTTGGACACTGAGCTTTGTAAGCACATTTTCCAAGCATAACAATGGTCATCAGAGCCCTCTTATCAGAGGCTCATCTGTGCTCAGGATTTCTGGGTTTCTGTTTGGGCCTGGCTTCTGCATCCTGTAGCTGTTTTCTGACCAGTCTTAAAGAACCAGGCTGCCTGCCTTGACCAACCCTACAGGAAGGCGTGGTCCTCCGTGCAGGGAGTACAGGAAGTGCAGGGACCTATTCTGCCTCCTTTGCTGGTAGCTCAGGGACTCTGTCAACCACCCAGCTCTGGCTATAGGCACTGTGCTGGCTCATGCAGCAGTCGGTGCCCTTTAGGCTGGTATGCTCCCATGATCCGCTGCCTGTCCTGAGCCCTTGTGCACTGCTAGGCTAGGTAGACACCTCTGGCCTCCACCCACTCTGGGCCCGCAGCAGCCTCTTGGCTCCTGAGCAGCAAGGCTCAGAAGGGCTCGGAAGGGTCACAAGCACCTCAGGACTGGAATGGGGCAACCCACTGCAGGTCTGGGTCGCACTGTGCATACTGCGTTTCGCACAGCAGCTCTGAAAAGCTTTTCAGAGGGAGGCTTGCCTGAGGCTCTGATTCCCCGCTCTTTCTTAGAGGGACTTGGCCTCCTCACCTGGCCTCTGCAGTTTCCCATGTGGCCAGTTGGACTTAACTGTTCCACTCACAGAGCAGCATTCTAGTTTTCCCGGCCACTAGTACTCCGGACTTCTCTCAGGCCTTAAGCTTGGATTCTATGTCTCATGTCGGGCATCAACTAAAACAGGATTTTCTTTGAGACCCCCTACTCCTGAATAATGGCATGGAGACCTTTTATATTTATTATAAGCAAGTGGCACTATAGCAAGGCAGATTCTCAGATATTTTAATCTAAGTATTCCGGCCTGGCCCACATCCCACCACATGGCCTGTCTATCTTCATCTATAGTGTTGGCTCCTGCTGCTTCCTCCATGTCTGGTGGGCAACTTTTCCCCTTGAGATTCCTTCCCAGAGTTCCTATCTGTGCCAGAAGTCCTTCCTCCTTGCTTGCCTCAGCTGTTGGCTGCTCAGCTCTTTATTTAACCAATCAAGAAGTGATAGAGAACAATGCTTACAAAATACTGAGGCAGGAAATGCTTCATAAAAATGACAGTGCCATCAGATCTCTGGCCATACGGAAGTCAGCATTTGAATAATACAGAGACAATCTTTACAAAGTACACAGCAAGTGCACCCCATATCCCTGGAAAGAAGTCAGGCATGAATTTGAAGCTAGTCACAGCACATTCACAGTCTAGAGAAGAGAAAGGAGCACAGGCATGCCCATCTGCTCAGCTGCGTTATCCACCCAGGCTTGGTGCCTCATACTTCCAGGCAGTGTAATCAAGATAGTCCCCTACATCTGCCTGTGTAGATTGAGACCTCTTTCTGTGATTTTACAGTGTCCAGGTGACAACTAAAATTGTCACAGTGTCATAGAATAATATTTCATCTTTTAATAGAAATAGGGGAAAATTCAAGAGAGGACCTTTTATCTCTATATAATTAACAACAATAAACTTTAATCTGTTGGCCAAAAAAATAGTACAAATGCAGCTTTTAAAGGGTATAATAATGTCATGTAGAATTGTCCCACCTGTGAGATTTCCCTGTAGGTTTGACTTCCAAACCCTTTGCCTCCTTGCTTGTGCTTGAAGATCTGAAGCCCTGATCTTAGAAGTGAGGCCTGTCGGGGTGGAGAGACGACTCAGTGGTTAGCAGTGCATACTCCTCCTCAAGATTTCTGTCCCCAATACCCTCTTCAAGAGGCTTACAGCTGCCTGTGGTCCACCTCAAAGGGAATCCAACACCAGTGGCTTCCTGGACACCTGCATTCAGTGCGTGCGTGTGCCCATGCACCAGCATACAGACACACAAATACACGTAATTCAAAATATTTTTACTTAAAAATTTTTGTTTGTATGAGAGTTTTCCCTGCATGTATGCATGTGTGTCGCACGTGAACAGTACATGTGGATATCATGTGGCCTTGAATTTTCTGGAACTGGAGTTACAGACAGTTGTGAATTCCCATGTGGATGCTGAAAATCAAACCCAGGTTCTCTGGAACAAGTGTTCTTAACTGCTGAAGCATCTCTCCAGCCCCCATAACATTTTTTAGAGGGGGTCCAGTAAACAAGATCATCCGGGAGTTAGGATTGCAGAGGCTGGGCCCCATTGTTGACCTCTTGCCCCGCACTGAGTATGCACCCAGGGAAAGCTGGGAAAGCCCCAGCCGAAAACAGCGACAATTGTAGCCTTCGAGTAGACACAGTGAGGGTCTGTTTCTCTGCAGCCAGGGAAGTAATGGTTTTACATCCTTACATGGTTAGGAAAAAACAAAGACTTCTTGACACAGCCACATTCTATGCAATTACTTCAGTGTCCATAAATAAAGCTTTATCGGAACATGGCTATAGTGGCACAGATTGTCTGTGGCTGCTACGGCTCAAAACAAATAGTTGAGTAGTCATGACAGCTTCATGCGGCCTAGAAAGCATAAAATATTTCCTTTCTGCCTCTTTGTGGAAAAAATGTCCAGGCCTCTGATCTAAAGTGAACAAGTACATTCTTGTTGAGTTTCAGAGCAGCTTGCAAATCAAAATCCACTGATTATAAAGTATACAGTGCATTATCTAATGATTCTTCCTTGTAGTAAAGTTGAATTAATAAAGCCAAGTCTGTATTGAATATTTAAAAATTTAACCTTCTTTTCTAAAATTAAATATTGGTGACTCAAAGAGTTTTTCACCAGGGAGGAATTTGGTAATTATTGATAAATTCAGTTGTTGTTGTTTTTAATATAGAGTCTAGTTGAGTTGGATGTGATAGGACACACTTTTAATACCAACACTTTGGAGGCACAGGCAAGTGGATCTCTGTGAGCTCAAGACCAGTCTGGCCCACACAGGAAGTTCCAGGCCTGTTGGGAGTCTATAATAAGACCCAGTCTCAAAACAAACAAAACAAAACCAAAAAAAGTACAATTGTTTATCTTATGTGTATATCATTAAATGGATTAAATAAATGATGATTCTTTTCATCTTGAGATGGAAACTTCAATAATCCTGGATGGTTTTGTAGGTGGAAACCTGCTAGTCTTGGTGGACCAGCATGCTGCCCATGAGCGCATTCGTTTGGAACAGCTCATTACTGGTAAGCACCTATCTACAGCTAGAGGAGGTTTACGACTCCAGCACAGGTAACATGCCTCCAAGAGTTCTTCTCACATGACTGTGAGGAAGGATGCATTTTACCCAGTCTGAAAACCAGCAGAAGGTTGCAGTAGTTTGCTTTACTCTTTCAAACATGTGGCTCTGATGGACTTGGTCAAAGGAGTATTTCCTATATATTTACTCTCCACCCAGACCTACAAGAAGACTGAGCTAGTTTGCACTGATACTCAGCATAAATGTAAGCTCTCACTGCTGTGCTCTCACTGCTGTGCTCTCTCACTGCTGTGTTC